TGGAATTCTGGGTGCTTATGAGGACTTTTTAACCCCCTTTTTCTCCTGCATTGTTGGTTTTTTTTCTATTTTTAAATATAAATTAGAAACAAGCCTGTTTTACATGTCAATCTCAGGTCCCTCTCCCTCCCCCTCCTCCCCTGTCCCTCACAAGCCCCCTATCCCATCCCCTTTTTGCTCCCCAGCGTGGGTGAGGCCCTCCATGGGGGATCTTCAAAGTCTGTCATATCATTTGGAGCAGGGCCTAGCCTCCCTCCCCTTCCCCCCTACCCATCCCTCCACACCCCACCACCCCGCCGTGTGTCTAGGCTGAGAGAGTATCTCTCTATGTAGATTGGGCTCCCAAAATCCATTCGTAGGCTAGGGATAAATACTGATCCACTACCAGAGGACCCATATTACTGAGGCCTCCTCACTGTCACCCACATTCAAGGGGTCTGGGTCAGTCCTATGCTGGTTTCCCAGCTGTCAGTCTGGGGTCCATGAGTAACCCCCTTTTCAGGTCGGCTGTTGCTGTGGATTTCGCCAGCCTGGTCTTGACCCCTTTGCTCGTCACTCCTCCCTCTCTGAGACTGAATTCCAGGAGTTGAGTTCAGTGTCTAGCTGTGGGTGTCTGCTTCTGCTTCCATCAGCTACAGGATAAAGGCTCTAGGATGGCATATAAGGTAGTTATCAATCTCATTATCGGAGAAGGGCATTTAAGTTAGCCTCTCCACTATTGCTTAGATTGATAGTTGGTGTCATCCTTGTAGATCTCTGGACATTTCCCTAGTGCCAGATTTCTCTTTAAACCTATAATGGCTCCCTCTATTATGGTATCTTTTATTTTGCTCTCCTCTATTCTTCCCCCAACTCAATCTTGCATTGTTGTTTTAAAATGAAGGACACACTTGCAACTTACAAACCTTGGCAATAAAATACTTAAAGGAGTGTCCTTCCCTAAATAGGCTTTATTTCCTCTTAGGGGTTAACTTCAATTAAACCCCTAATGTAGGTGCATAAAAAGACAAATACTACCTTTGAAATTGACTTACACTCATGTGAGTAGAACTCAGAAACAGTGTTACTAAGTTTTCTGTGTCATTACTGAGAATTAAAGTAATTAAAATAAACCAAGAAGTTTCCCTCAGTCATGCCTGTTCTGACTGCTGAAGGATCTTAGAGAACTGAGTGAGGAGAGTATTGCAAGGGCTCATGGGTTCCGGTGTCGCACCTGCTGTGCGGCCTGCATCCGAGAATGTAGCGAGGTGGTCGGGATAGATGACACAGAGACCGGTCGGTTGCTTTAAGAAAACTTTATCTTCCCAAGTCAGTTTAGGAGAGCTCTCAGGAGAAATCTCAGGAGAAGTCTCTCTAAGAAAAAGGAGCTTCCCTTTTTAAGGACTTTTGCCATCCATTTACATACCATTCTTTCCACTTCTCACCCTCCTGGCTGGTGGTTTAATCTCCGGCCCCAGAATCGGGGAGACACCACAGGGGGCAGGAAGAGGCATCTAGCCATAGGAGGTGTGGAAGGCATGGTATTTCAGTGAGCCAGCCCTATCTGAGCCCTATCAAGCTTTAAAGCACTGAATTGTTTTCAGTAAACAATACATAGATGCCTGCTCCCAGGCCAAAGGGGAAGTGGGTTTCTGCTCAAGGTCTGGTGTCCCCACATTCCGGGGAGTAGGAGTGCGGCAAGAATGGGAAGGGGCAGAGATTTAGAGCCTGGTGGTGATGAAGTACTCAAGACGTCACAACTTAGTCACATTGCCAAAATGCATTTAGTTTTCATGATGATTAAAAAAAAAAACACTCCTTAGTTTGGGTGTGGCGGCGTCTACCTTTAATCCCATCACTCAGGAGGCAGAGGCAGGTGGATCTCTGAGTTTGAGGCCAGCCTGGTCTACAGAGTGAGTTCCAGGACACCCAGGGTTATTACAAAGAGAAACCTTGTCTTGAAAGAAAATATTTTAAAAACAAAAAAAATTAAAAAGTAAAAATAAATTGCTGGTTTTGGGGGCCCTGCTCTTCATACTGAGTAGCCTTGCTGGTACTTAATACTTGGGGAGGCACTTAGTCTCACTGCAACTTGATATGCATGTTTTGTTGATACTCATGGGAGACCTGCCCTTCCCTAAACAGAAGCAGAGGAGGGGTGGATTGGGAGTGGGAACAGAGGTAGGTGGAGGGGGTAGGGACTGGGAGGAGAGGAGGGAGAGGAAACTGCTTTAAATAAATGAACTTATTTTTAAAAAAAGTATGTCTTGAGGGTTGGAGAGAAGGCTCCACAGTGAAGAGCACTGGCTGCTCTTCCAGAGAATCCAAGTTCAGTTCCCAGCATCCACATGGTGCCTCACAACCATCTATCACTCCAGTCCTCTGATTCGGACACACTCTTCTGGCTTCCCTGGGCACCAGGCATGCATAAAATAATAACAATTTATTCATACACATAAATAATAATTCATATGCATAAAATAATAATAATTTAAATAGAAAACAAATCATAAAAATCTGTCCCTTCAGCATAACTCCCCTTCAGGGAGGACTCTAAACCAATTTCCAAATCCATAAGTATGACAATTCAACACAGTCATAAGAAATACATATTTCACATGACAAAGTGGCAGATGGATCTGGTCAAACATATATCAGACTTGAGGTCAACTCATATTTACATTTTTGAGGACCAACTCTGTACATCCCTAGACTAGGTATTTTGATGTACACATTCCATTGGTTTCTCAAAACAACACAGAAACATTCAAGTGTTCACTGCCATTAGAACATGAAGTCAATACAAAACTACGCGAAGACAGTGTAGAATTCACATCCGTACCCCAGTTCAGCCTGAGATTCGATGGTTTTCTTACAAGGTGAATGGGTTGATTGCCAAGGCATCGTCATTAGAAATCTGATTTTGTTTCTTTTTAAAGGGCAGTACGGGGTTAACATCATTTTCGTATGCTCAGAGGTTGTCACTGTAGAGGACATCTGGCATACAAGGACTTTAGAACCAAATGTCACCGAGTGCACAGCTACAAGATGAAGGACTGACTTCTCTATTTTCAGGTTCAGATGATCCTGTATTGATGTATTCACGTCTATATTCTAAAGTCAGATTCCAAACCCAACACAATGTGTATGAACGGACTATGAATCTGTGTGACGCTGGCATTATTTTGGCTCCCACCACAATCCTAGATGTCTTTTTTCCTCAGCTCCCTCTATTCTTCTGAACTTAGGGGCGTTTGATGCGTTGTGTTAGGTCTGGACGCAAAGCACAAGCGTGCCAAAATTGCCACGGGGTTGACAGACAGCACTGCGCCTCTGACGAATATAACCACACACCTGCTGCCACCATCTGTCTGCGGAGGGGCTGAGGTGACCCTCTTCCACACGCAAGCAGGTCTCTCCGCTGAAAGTTGATTTGCAAAGGAGAGCCTGCTTGCCAGCCTTTATCCCCAGTGCGCCGATCTCCAACTTGTCATGTGAAAGCCAGTGTTGATCAGGTAGACAAAGGAAAGGAAGGTAATGCTCCACTTGCTCCTAACTCAGGGAATGGGGAAGGAGCTGAGGAGATGGATTTAAGATGCTAACGTGACTCAGATGGTCATGCCCATTCCTTTCCCTTAATGGGCGATATTGGCCAACGGTAAGGTCGGGAACTCACTGCTGACTTTCCACATTGCTTTATTTGATTTATTCACTGCCCATCTTCCAAAACAGGAGAGATTTGCTGCAGGCATGGATTCCATCTGTGTTACTCACAGGCATTTGTCCAGAATCTATGTAGTGAAGAGAGAAAAGCAAGAGGGAGATATAAAGGGAAGGGAAAAAGGATGGCAGAAATCTAGTGATGTTTATCTAGGTTCTGATGTAACAATGATATTATACTTTTATACAATCAAAAGTTGACGAACGATGCAAGAGGATGGAGTTCTCTGCCTAAAGATTTTAGTTTCAAGGAAAATTTAGCTCTACAGCCGTTTTCATGGGGGCAAATTGCAACTTTTTGTTCCATTCTTGCAAGGAAAGGTGAAAGTCGGCAAGCCTTTCCTCCAGCCTCATGTTGCAGCACCAGACAGCTGCTCAGACTATCTCCAGGTGACTGAATAGTGAGAAAGCTGCCTACAGCCAAAGAGGGGATGTGGCAAGGGTGTTTGCATCAATCCCAGAAGTCTGTTATGAAGATGGAGGCCCATGTTTGCATAAACCATGGAGCAGTCCGTCATGCAAATAAACATACATGTTTATACCAATTACAGGATTTCCACTGGGCCACCATGGGAAGAGCTCTCCTTGGGTGATGGAAAAAGGTAAGGTGTAACTGGTTTTGAAGCAGTCAGAGCAGGGATATGGCCTTCTGGTTAGAGCTGTGTGTGGCTAGAGGCTGTCATTGCAGTGCCGTTTCCTCAAGGCAACTATGGAGTGTCTAAAGCAGTCTTGCTGCCATGATCTGTTGTTTCCCCAGCTGACAGTCCTCATACAAAACCTCCAGGAACTGAGGAGGGCTCTATTTGAGCTACAATTCTCACCTTAGGAACTGAAAACCCGAGAGGAAGCATGATTGCGAATGGAAGCGATAATAACTGTATGAATGTGTGTAGTTTTATACCAAGAGGCTCAGAAATAATGACACCACCGTGACAATCAGCACACGTGGCATGCAGTCTCATTCTTACTGCTCTATAAGGAGAGAAACCAAAAACCCTTGGAGAGACCAGGTTCATTTCTGAAACAGGGAAAAACACAAAGCAAGCTTGGAAGAGGCCTGTGCTAGGAAAAAGACACTCAAGAACAAAGGGCAGCTGGCCAGGAAGGAAGAAGGGGCCATTGTAAATGGAGTCCTAATTGGTCTAAATAATAAAAACCCAGAGTCAGATATAGAGGGAAATGCTGAGAGATCAGAGAGAAGAAGGAGCAAGCCAAAGCCAGCTTTACCTCACTAGCTTCCAGTGGAAAAGAGACTCAGTTCCTGTTTCCTCCTGCCTCCTCTCTCTGCCCAGCCATCTCCCTTCCTGTCTCCGCCCAGCCACCTCACTTCCTGTCTGTCTGTATAGACCTCCAGACCTCTATGGTTAGCCAGTGGCAAGCTCCATCCTCTGATCTTCAGACAGGCTTTATTTGTACAATGAAGACGCCACCACAGTCCACAGGCAGGCGTTATGACGAGTCACACCAGAAAGAATGTTAACCGTGGAATGCCCCGTCTTTGCATAGCTCTAGGAAGAGGTCTGACTGGGGCAGCAAAGAAATGAAGAAAAGACAAGCATACAGACACACAGAGAAGTTAGTATTAAGTGTGGTATGAACCAGGCTCTCTGATGGAGGAGCCACAGCGTCTACCAGGGAGCTCAGTGTGCTTATCCCACACAGCTGAATCAGGGAGGCGGGGCTCAGCTGACCTCAGTAGGAGCAGTTCCTACAGTCTCCAGGCAGTGACTACCCAGGGAGAGACAGCTATGGTGAATGTTTTCACATAATAATGTCTGTGCATGGACCCCCAAGAAGGCTTTATCACCCCTCTGAGCCTCACCCTGAGGAAGGGGCCTTGTAATTTTCCCAATGGGTCTCAAGTTCCTTGGCCCTTGACGTAGTTGTGCCCTTGTCAGATTCTACAATCACTCAGATTTCACTCCCTCAGGTCTTTCTCTGCTCCCCACAGGGGGATGTATTTAACTTTCCCCTTTCATTACATTTATTTGTTTGTTTGTGTGCATGTCACCTTGTGCTCAAAGCAATGCCCAGGTTTGGCCATCAGAGGACAACTTGTGGGAGTTGGTCTTCTCCTTGTATCATGTGAGCCCTGGGGATCGAACTCAGTTTGTCAGGCTTGACAGCCAGCACCCTTTTCTTCTCCGAGGCATCTCACCTCACTGGCAACCAACTTAAAATATAATGGTGAGTTTTACCTTCTTTGCAAGATGTAGGTTAAAAAGTGTGTCATCCTACAAACATGTGGAAAATATTTCATATTATATAAAACCAGGAACCTCCCATCCTTCCTTTATTCATGATTTCCTGTGGGAAATGAAAGTTACATGTATTTATCCTATGTGTGATGGTTTGAAATACATATTCATTAAGAAATAATTAAATCATGTGTGTTAGTACCACTTTGCTTCACATACTAATATTGTGTTGAGAAATGAAAACCAGTTTTTTGCAGTCTTCAAGACTACAATATATATATATATATTTTTTTTTTTTTGAGACATGGTTTCTTTGTGTGCCTTTGGAGCCTGTCCTACAATTCACTCTGTAGACCAGGCTGGCCTTGAACTCACAGAGATCCCCCTGCCTCTGCCTCCTGAGTGCTGGGATTAAAGGCGTGGGCTGCCAATGCCTGAGCCTGACTTACAATGTACTCCGAAAGCTACAGTCGCCACGCTGCATATTGGATATGCCAAACTGACTCATTTTGCTCAATTGAAATTTTGTTTCACTTGACCAGCATCTGCGCCCCCCCTCCCCCTCCCAGGTTTTCAGACCCTGCCAGCCTCCATCCTAGCTGTCTCCATGTGTCTCGCTGTTGGAGAGTCCCTGTGGAATGTGGGATCCTGCAGCGTTTGTCTTTCTGACTGTAACTCCCAGTCATGGCACACACGGGGTAGAGAAGGCACAGGGAGGCAAGCTGATCAGTCTGTGTGTGTCTCCCTCGCTCAGCTCCCTGCAGCTCCCTGCAGCTCCGATGGGGTTGCTGCCCTCCTCTTGCTTCTTTACCCTCGGGCTGAGGGGTGACCACTCTTGGAGCTCTGTCTCAGCCTCGCTGCTCACCCTGGAGCCCGGGCTGCTGTCCCCAGGGCAAGTCTTCATTCCCTTTGTCCCTCTTACTCTTCCTCCCCACCTCCGCTTCTGCTCCCAGGTTCACACTGCATCATTTTGCTGTTGTTTCCGTGTGACAAGTGAGTGTCAACTTCTTCTCTTTATGAGACTGTTAATAGTCTCTGAAAATCAAGGAGTGACCCTGCATCCTCCTGAGACTGACACTAATGCCTTCAACCCTGTGAAAATCTCCTCAGAGAAGTGAACAAAGAAAATAGATCTTTATAAGCAGACTGCCCTGTCCATTAGATTGAGAATTCCATGCCAGCCACATTTAAAATCTTGTATAATATTAATACTAATCAGCCTTTATTAAAATTCAGACATGTTCACAACTGTTGCAGCAGCCGAGTGCCCGTGAGTTAAATTGATTTTAGTCCTTAGACACCCATTAACAGTGCTGCTTCCCATTTCCATAATGAAATACAGTTGTGGAGGGGGTGTTTGTGAAATGACATCTGTTTGATTTATATGTGACCTTGACTGGGAATACTCCATGAAAATGTGACAACCTCCACCTCCCCCACTGCGATTGCTGTGTTGCAACTGTGTGTTCCCATTTCCAGCCCACGTGAGACACAACAAACACCAAGTTAGATCCCTTCAGCCTACGTCAGACACAATATGCACAAAGAGTTCAGACTCACGCTTTAACCTGCCCAACACGTAGCCTCTGAGCAGACCCTGAAATGGTGTAATAAAGAACTCCAGTGGCTTTTTTTTTTTTTTTTTTTTTTTGGTTTTTACGAGACAGGGTTTCTCTGTATTGTTTTGGAGGCTGTCGGTCCAGCCTGGCCTCGAACTCACACAGATCCGCCTGCCTCTGCCTCCCGAGTGCTGGGATTAAAGGCATGCACCACCACTGCCCGGCAGAACTCCAGTGGCTTTTATCATTCAAAAAGAAAGGAAGGAAGGAAGGAAGGAAGGAAGGAAGGAAGGAAGGAAGGAAGGAAGGAAGGAAGGAAGGAAGGGAGGGAGGGAGGGAGGGAGGAAGGAAAAAAGAAAGGAAGGAAGGAAGAAAGGAAGAAAGAAAGGCAGGAAGGAAGGAAGGAAGAAAGGAAGAAAGGAAGAAAGAAAGAAAGGAAAAAGAAAGGAAGAAAGAAGAAAGAAAGAAAGAAAGAGAAAGAAAGAAAGAAAGAAAGAAAGAAAGAAAAAGAAAGAAAGAAAGAAGAAAGAAAAATAGGCTTCACAAGAACCCACTCTTCGGCACATTTGGACCATACAGAACCTCGTGGCCTGACTGGCTTCGAACTGACTTGAAATATCCCCCAGACGGCCAGGTCTAGGGCTGAGGAAGAAAGTCAGTTCCAGCCCCAGTTTTACTTTGCTGAAACCAACCTGCTTGTAGAACCAAGGTCTGCACGCTGTCTGCCTCTGTGAATTGTGGCCAGCCGGAACAGCCGGGTTTGGCACACTGCCCTCTGCCTCCATAGAGTTCCTCTCTGGGAAATTTTATTTGTAAAACTTTTTTTCCCTCTTGCCAAATGTGTATAGACTGGCCAAAATCTACACCCCGAAGAGCCATTCTTCTGGGCTGGTGAAGAATCAGGAGCAACACCTGGCGTTCCCAGTACAGCCCGGGCCCTCTGTGGGGTTATAACAACAACAACTGCTTTTTGATTTTTAGTCAGAACACCCGGCCAACAATTTCTTTGTACTTCATTTGATAATTCAGAGTTCAATCACGATGGCTTTTCCACGGCTGTGCAAAAGTATGCCTGGAGTCGTGTTCATTTTTTTCCCCCAGGGGACTCTTCCTGTGTCAGAGCCCCTGTGTGACACTGAAGGGACAAGCTCGTGTAAGAAGGCGGAGTCGCACCGGAGCCAGCAGCTCCAGGACCGTCTGGATGCTGATGTGCCAAGGGCCTCCAAGGACTTCACTTTCGGGGGCGGGGAGGGACTTCGTGAGAGGTGGCAGACAGAGAAAAGAGCATAAACGCATGCAATTCACAGTTGACATAATGCAATTCCTAGGACGTGGGCTATAAGGGAATGCGTAAAACGGAAGGATAGCAGCGCCCGTGCATCAGCGAGAGGCCCCAAGGAATAGATTCGCGGACGGGAAAAATGAAATGCCCCCCCCCGAAAGAGCGGAGCTTTGGGGATCATGGGGGAGACAACCTAAAATAATATGCCAAGAAAACAAGAAAAAGAAGCCCACAAACAGCGCATGTGCCAAGCGCTCCACCCACACCATACTATAAAAGCTGAGCTGTCCCAGTGGAAGACACAGTTACAGACGCCCGAGGCTGTTTGCGGTACCGGGCTGCACCCTCTCCCTGTGTTGTCACCCAGATCTCTACTCCCATACCGCGTCTTTGTCCTTTCTCCGAATTTCTCCAGCAGCGTGCAAGCTGACTGGTCCTGTCCCTGAGCTATCAAGACTCTGGGTTGTCTCCAGCAAATGCTCAAATCCCGCAGCAGCCATTGCAGTCGAGGCTAACTTTATCATCTGCTTCCCACGTGCAAACTTCAGCTGGCAATGACCTCCGAGATCAACATTTTTTTTCCCACAGCTTGAACAGGCGCTGCAAGACTCTAAGGTGTATATGTGTACAGGGATCTTCTTGTCCCTTGTTCTTTGGGGTTGGGATTCATAGCATTCAATTTGGGGAGGAATTGTTTTCAAGAAGAGAAGAATTATATGCGTTCCTCTAGATGGGCACTGAGGAGTGTGGTAACATTATTTCCCCCCTGGTGTTGGTATTTTCCTCTACTATAAATTGTTTTATTCCTATAAAAGAGAAAAGAGAAGGGGGAAGGTTATGGAAGAAGACATGGCAAAGAGAAACCTTTATTGAGTCAGGAGTAATTTGCTTCTAAAGGCATGATGGTTCCACAGGCTACACACTGTGAAAATCAAGCAGATTGAAAGTATAAGAGGTTTGTTGGAACACGCTTTGTTTTTTGTGTATGTTTTCACGCGTGTGTTTGTGAGTGTACACGTATGTTGTGGCCAGAGGTCATTGTCTGGCTCTCCCCTCAACTGTTCTGTGCCTTTGTTTTTTCTTGCTTGTTATGTGAGATGGTTTCTTATTGAATATAGACGTTAAAGATACCTAAACAGGCTGGCCAGAATTCTGCACAAGGGATCCCCCTGACACCACCTGCCCATGCTGGGACCATCACACAACCATGCCTGGCTTTTTACATGTGTGCTGGGTATTGAGCTCTGATGGGAGATGTCATT